GACCACTTTACTAGTAAAACAATTTTTAACGCCCCCTTGTAAAAAAAAGTTAATAAATAAAAATTAAAAAAAAAATGCTTTTGTCCCATTTTAAGTCAAATATTCTTGCTATGATATACTTTTAAAAATGATGCTTCAAAGTTATTGAAAATAGGCCCAATGGTTAATGTATTTATACTGGAATCGTTTATTATATTAACTTTGATTAAAAATAACAAATGTAGAATTTTTAAATGTTTTTATGAAAAAAAAATTCAGCATATCACTAGCAGTTTAAATTAAGCACTTGATTAAATAGTATTTTCCTTCTCTCTTCATAAAAGCAAAAGTTTATCAGGATATATGTTTGCTTATAGCTCGAAAAAAGGAAAACCGATTTGGATTAGGTTTTTTTTTTCTTCTCCCCCCCCCCCTACAGTTAGCAAATTTCTATGGGTAGGTTTATTCAACATTATCCCTCTCCGGCTTCATTCAGTTCGTGCGCAATATCGGAAATACGAATTTGTTTTGTTGAAAATCATTGTTACAGGTTTAACTCTCCCTAATATCTTTGGAAGGGCTTCATTGATTGGCACGATGTATTTTGTTACAGATTACTAATATTTTTTTTTGATCGCTTAGCAATATTTTCTCTTCCTTTACGTTTGAGTTGTTCGCATGTAATATTGAAAATTGTGTTTTTTTCATTTTTCTTTATATATATTTGTTACGGTGAAACACCGAAATCTAGAGAATGTCGACATTACCGGTGAATGTCAACATTCACGTAGTCGCTTGGTGAATGTCCGAAATATTTGTTATATCCAATTTCATATTAATTTATTCGTTAATATTATTATATTTATTTGATATATTTATATTTATTCTATATTTTAATACTTACTGACGATAGATTAGAAGAAACATCAGTGTTTGAAGTATCGGGCAAACATATACCAGGCAATGGCACTTAACCTTAAAAAAACATCAGTGTAGGGTATACTGGGCAAATGTATACCGGGCAGGGGCACTTAACCTTAAAAAACATCAGTGTAGGGTTAAAATATCGAATAAATGTAATTATATTCACGAATAAATTCATATCAAATCGACTGTAATAAATATTTCGGACATTTACCAAAGCATATCTGTGATTGTCGACTTACACCGGTGAGGGTCCGAATATACAAGAATGTAATGAAATATTCGATCCTTCACCGACGTATTTGATGTTTGTCGACATTCACCGGTGAAAGTCAACAACCACCGATTTCAGTTTTCCCCGTGACATATTCTTATAACCGTTGTTGAACAGCCGATTCAATTTATTGGGCTTACGGGTTCTAATGTTCAACTCTTTAGCCTTGTAATTTTGAACCCAATAAAGAAGACAAGGGACCTCCTAGATTAAGTAAATTTGCCTTCGTGGAGGACTTTTTGATACAACTCACAAGTCTTAAATCCCAAGTCAAAATCTTAAGTAAAGAGGACATTTTAACGCCAAAATATAATTTGAGCAGACTTAAAAATGATTGGTTAAAAGTTAAAAACTGATTGGCAATCATAAGTCCATTTTTAGTTTTAGCTCAATTACCCTTAAAAACCTTAGCTACATTTCTTTTAACATTTCTCGTCAAGAATCAAATAGTTAACGATATGCAATTCCTCCTCTACTGGGTAAATTCTAGGTTTGGATTTAATAAATATATCTTACTCTCTTTGGATTGAACAAATATTTACTTGCGTATTTTACCTTTGATTTATTTTATAATTTACACCTTATTCTTTACACTTACATTTTACTTACTTTACTTTTTAAACTTTACTTTACACTGTACTTTATATTCCATACTTTACTTCGCACTTTTATTTAGACTTTATATTTTACGCTTTACCCTAATTTATACTCCATGCTTTACTTCAATTTAATCTCCACGCTTCATTTTAATTTATACTTCCCTCATGTCGCTTAGAGTTCTAACAAAGATATACAAGTAGTTCTGAGAAGCACTGGGATAGCCTGGTTGGTAGGGCACTGGGCCCATGTCCAAGAGATCGTGGGTTCAATGCCAGTCGGCCGAAGACAATATATATAGTAAATAGGTATAGTAAATGGTGACTGATGCGCGTTAAATCGTTCGAGTCACGAAGTCCTCCATGCTCCCATAACAAATCAATACCTCTGGTGGTACTGATACGGGGGTTTCCTTGTCTTCTGGATTGTTTCAAAATTACAAGGCTGCAGAGTTGAACATTAGTAGTCGTAAACCCAAAATTGGGTCGGCTGTTCAACGACGGTTATGAAATAAAAATAAAAAGTAGTTCTGAGGAAAAAAAATACTCGCAGAGAAACAATGACCCAGCGTCTATTTCCTGTGTCGGACTCTTAAACAGTCCGCCAAATAAATCTATTCAGCTAAAAACCTTATATGAGAATAATTAAAATTTTAAAAATAATTAGACATGAGACTTTTATATAGTATATACAATTTATTCATATTTACAGCACAATACAGCAGAAAGACATAGTTTCAATGACTAGGTATTTTATCACTTTACATTTTTCTTCTTCCCATTGGAGGATATACATATTAATTTAGCAGCTACCTGTTTAAACTATACATATTTAGAACAAAATTCACATCAATGATGTACATTTATAATTTTGATTAACAGCACATGTTTTATAGTTTTTGTCAGAAAATAAAAATCGGTTTAAGTTTTCCTGAGCATAGCTTTCGACGTTTTGAATAGCCCTAAAGTCAAAATTTTTAATAGACCAGCGTAATCTTGATGGTAACCATCAGTAATTCCATCATAAACCATTATATTGTTTGATGGTAACCAACATAAGTAACCATCATCCCAATGAAGGAATTCTGACTGATTTATGATGGTCCGTTTAACATGAGAAGAGCAACTTGTCTTGATGGTTTGTTCATGTTGAACTATCAGAAATTTCCTTCATAGTTTCTTAGGTATCAAATGTTGAAACGATCATGAACCACCGTCACACCAATGAAGGAATTCAGACAGATCATTAAAAAAAAACATTAGATCATTAAAAAAAAAAAACATTGGTCGGACATTAAAAAAAATTGTTGAACCATTATGGATCATCACGAATTTCCATAGTATCTTAGAAATCAAATGTTTGAACGATAATGAACAACCATCATGCCAATGTAGGAATTCAGACTAATTTATGTTGGTACAACATAAAAAAATAAAATTGTTTTGATGGTATATTCCTGAGAATAAAAAAGAATTCCCATTTAACCATCATGGAAATGTATAGTTGAAACCATCATGGACCATCGCGGATTTTTGGCCAGTGAGAATCAAACTTCGCTAGATGGTTAATCATCATAGCATTACGGTAGCATTTTCCATCATGGAATGATGGAAGTTTGTTGGTATATCAAAAACCATGAACACATAATGAAAAATGCTGGATGATGGTTACCATCGAATGATGTTGGACCATCATGAATCGCACTGAAACCAACATAAACTATCAAAATTTTTTGATGGGACCATGAAGAATTTTGACTTGGATTTTCATAGAGGCTGGCAACTACAATGATAATTGTGAGCAGGAATATATTTGAGATTTCATCAGCACCAAAAATCCGCATGAAATAATTATCAAGCAAGGATATATATACCCATGCAAAAAGCTATAGTTTGTCTATAGAGGGAACTCCCCTCGCCACGAAGTCCAAGGCCGTGGAAAAAAGAAATAGTGCATTTCAAAGAGGGGAGCTTCTTTTCCCTCTCATTCCCTTTCTCTCGCCGACCTGTCTTAAATAATGATCCAACATCCCTGCTTGGAATAGTTAAACCTCGTCACCGCCACCACTCCAAACGAATGGCTAGGGGAGTTCTTTATATGGACAAACTATTCAAAAACAGGTAAATTACAAACAAATAACAACAAAACAATTTCAGTTTATAACTTGTCAATGTTTTTCTCCCATATCTCTGTAATTCCCTCTCTTATTCTGTGTTCCGAAACCGAATAATCCTCTTTATTATAGAACCAAAACTTTAATACGCCTGTTTACGTGAACAGCTAATGACTTTTTCAAATGAAGTATAGTAAGAAGTTAACCCTCTCTTCATTGTTTATATATGTTACCGTTAATGACCAAAATCAAAAGAATGTCGACTTTCACCGGTGAAAGTCGGCTATTAAGAATTTTGACTTAACTTTTATTTTCTGGTCAAAGATTCTTTACATTGGATTGAATGTAGAGGTGAGTAAGCAAAGGAGTGGCGTACATTTTTGAAGCAATACCTGCGTCTTAAATATGTCACATTTAAAAATAAATTAAAATCAATACAACTACATTAAAACTTAGGCAACTCGGATACAATCAAAATAAAATGAAACCTCTTAAGTTGACCATCTGCCTGAGTCGATCATAATGATAAATTGACTAAAATAATAGATATATAAATAACTTTATTATATCCTTTATAGATAACTTATTCTATATAAAAATTATCAAGACTGCTGTTATTCAAAATAGAACGCAACTGCTGTCACAAATTACAGGTTGCACAAATTTTGCTTTAAATTAAGTAATTAATATTTAAATAAATTTCTGAAAGCTTATATCATGGTCTTTCAAAATGCCTTATTTTTTTCCTGAAATTGTAGGGGTGGAAATATAATGAGGATAAATCTTAAAATTTTAGACGCACTGTAAAACAGAGTACAAAAATTCGGCCTTTTATTTAATCCACCACTTTTTCAGATTGCTATGTTTAGGGAACTATTCAAATCAACAAATTAGTTGCAAGCATCTGTTCGGGAAATAAATATCATTAAATTAAATCTGAGCTAGAAAAATTTTATGTCAATACTCCGTTGCAAGTTTTTTTTTCAAAAAAAAAAAAAAAAAAAAGACCATTGCGGTATAGGATTTAAGTAATCATCCGCGATTTCGTATAGTTCCGTTTTATTTTGTTATCAAATTATACCTTTAAAACAATTTAAAAGTTAAGCATCTCAGACAGAAATTTAATTCGTGCTTTCTTTTACGATAGATATCATAGAATTATTTTTTAAAAAAAAGGTTATAGTTATGTAGTCTTATTAAAATCCTAGATTTGAATTCATAATTCGATAAATAAGGAGAATATTCGTTCTTGGAAGAAGAAAAAAACAACTGCATGACGTTGCAAGAGCATTGAATTTGATTGGGTCACTTAAAATGACGCTTCGTATGCTGACTTGCTTTGAACGAATCAAAATGCAAGATGGGTATTTTCACTTTTGTTTCGCTGTAGAAGAAAATCGTCTGCTTGAAACAATATTTATTAATTTATTCATGCGAACAGAAAGTATTATTTAAATATAATACAACTCTTTCATTTTATGGAAAACAAAACAATAGTTTTTATTCAGTAAGTGTTGTTTTCCATATTTCACACGATTTAAGAAAGCAAGCTTAAAGAAGGCTGTGCAACTTCGTTTTAAGAGTTGGCGATGTTGATATATGTTCGCGTGGGGTGCTTGGCATCCATTTGGCGTGCACTAATATGAAAACAGGCTCTCCCCATAGGTATAATAGTTTTTTCTTAACTTGTAACAGAGTATACTAGTGTTTTAGCTTAGTTCACTCACAATATACCAAATGATCTATACATTTACAACCTTATGTACATTTCACAATGCACCATTTCTTTAAAAACCGTAAATTAAAAAAAAAAAATTAAAACAAGTTTTATATATTTGAACAAAACATTTTAGCCATTAATCAATTATTTGTAATGCAGTGCCATAATTAATTTCAATAATGAGCTGCACAGGGCTGTTAAAATGTCCATTGAATAAAAGTTAGGGCCTTTATAGTCAAGGTTTGTCTCGGTCGCATTGATTACAGGATGCTCCAGGATACAGAACTGGCTGCCCAACGTCCTTCTCCACAGTTGAAGATTCTGCCGATCTTGAAGTGAGGGCGTAAGCAGGAACGCCTGGCGCCCCGACGGGTGGCATTCCCGCCGCTGATGCTGGAGGTGGGTACGCCCCCGGGTCGGTGAGGGCGGGCAAGGAGGCGGCGGCCGCGGCTGCAGCAGCGGCCGCCGGAGGCAGGGGCACTCCTGCTTGGTTCATAAAGGAGATGATGCGCCGCATTTCCTCCAGGGCATTGGCCTGCATCAGGATGTAGTTCTTGGCAAGGAGAAGAGTGGCTATTTTGCTCAATTTGCGGACGGAGGGTGAGTGGGCGTAGGGGATGACAGACCGGAGCTCGTCCAGGGCGTCATTCAAGTCGTGCATTCGGCGCCGCTCCCGGGCGTTGATGCTCAGCCGGACGGATTTGGCATGGCGGCATTGTTTTTTGTTGCCACTGGAGCTTCCACCCAGGAGAGAACTGTGACCATTGCCATTGTAGTCACCGTTGTCTTTGGAATCGTGATTCAGAGATCCTAAAGTAAATAAATAAATAAAATTTTAAAAAAACGAAGCCTTTTAATTGGTTCGAATAAGCAAGTAAAATTGTCAGTCTTCAAAAGTAAATTATTAAGAAAATAATTCATAACAATTTGGTAAAATTTAAAATCTCGTTAAAAAATATTTATTTAGGTACACGATCGAAGCTAAATAAGGTAGATAAAGCACAAATAATGGTACGAAACAGACATACAACAGTTTTGGTGCTGTAATGAAGAACTTTTATCACAGTCGAAACACAGAAGTTTCGACATTGAGGAATTGTTTTAGTGATATTATTACCATTCTCTAGTTCCGATTCTGAAGAACTTAGCTCAGATTCGAAACATAGAACCATCAAAGCTAAATAACGTAGATAAAGCACAAATAATCGCACGAAACAGACATACAACAGTTTGGGTTCTATAATAAAGAACCTTTATCACAGTCGCTACACAGAAATTTCGACATTGAGAAATTGTTGTTGTGACATTATTGCCATTCTCCAGTTTCGATTCCGAAGAAATTACCCCAGAATCGAAACATAGAAGTTTCAACACTAAGGATATTTTTGTGGAATTTTCACTCTGAGCAAGGTTTTTAATCACAGAACCGAAACTATAATATGCCAGTTTTTGTGGTTTTGCTCGTGCTCGATTCGCGTTGTTTAGCTTAATTCGCTAATAGCGCAAACTATACACTTTCTTCATTTCAAAATGTACCGTGTTTCTAATTATCTATTCAATTTGAGCTTGTAACAGTGTTGTTAGAGTTTAGCATAGACATACTTCTATAATTTGAGAGCCACTAACATTTGAGATCCTTTACAAAATTTTAAATGATGTATGAATTAAAAGCAATGTCTTCTAAAATTATTTAAGTGAAAAAATTTGAGAAGTAGATTTTGTAATAATAATTAAAGATTTTGGAAAACAATTATTTAATCTTTCAATGTTTAACATTGCAGTGATGCGGACAGTGCTTTAATGAGAAGAGTTGCAGAACATTTAAATTAAATAAGTAATTTGTTCTGTTAACTATTACTTTAATTGTAAAAATAATCGGATTGCCATGCTTTTAATTTAAAAAAAAATGAGTCGAATTGCTCAATAGACGATTTGAACGTTTAATTCACAAAAGCTCACTTGAAACTTAAAATAGTACATGTAAATATATTCGAAGCTTAAGTACTAACTTTGATAACTTTTTTTAATATAACTCATAATATAATTTTAATCATCAATTAAATATTTAATTTTTCAATGTTTAACTATCTATATTGCAGTGGTTTAAGCAATGCTTTAATGCGAAAAGTTGCAGGCACATTTGAATTAAATGAGTAATTTGTTTTTGTTAACTATTATTTTAATTTTAAAAATAATCCAATCGCTATGATTTTAGATTTTAATTTTAAACAAATGAGTCAAATTGCTCAATAGACGATTTGAACGTCTAATTCACAACCTGATGAAACATTTATTTCAAATACTCAAAAAATTTAAGAATTTGATGATTTTTGTAACTTCCAAAAGCTCACTTGAAATTTAAATATTGAAATAGTACATGTAAATGTATACGAAATTTAAGTACTTATTTTGATAATCTTTCTTAATATAACTACTGTGTCTTCTCGAACCTTGTTCAAAAAACCTTATGTCAAAAAAAAAAAAAAATCTCTTTGTTATCTATTCCCCTATTGTTAATTTGAATTACTATGTCGAAGAGTTTCTTCTCAAAACCTTGTTAAGTCGAATTTTTTTCGAAATAGAAAATGAAATTTTTTTAGAAAAATATTCGAGATATCGACATCGAGAGTATACTGTATTTATGTATTTTTTTAATCAAAAGCTTGTTTAATAATAATTATGAAACAATAATGTTCAAATATAATGATTTTGACTCATTTTTTCGTTTAGAACTATCAATTCCTGTGGTGTTGCAGGAATTATTAAAAATATATGAATATTTCTTAAGATTCTATTGTTGGTTACACTGAATTATAGTTTATGAATTAAAACGTCTAAATAAAAGACAGATGGAATATTTAAATATTGACATAGTATGTGAGGATCTTAATGTGAATAAATCAATTATTTATCTTAATTTGGATTTCAATTGAATTGAATGTAGGGTTTAATGTGCACCAAGTCCACAGGACACGCTGCGCCAAACAAATGATTTTAAAATAAATCTTATGTAAATGTATAATGCAAATTTTTCTTATTAAAAATCACACGGAATTTATAAAACTGAATACAATGAAACAGACGTATTCAAAACTGAACAAGATAAAATTTAAATATAGTTAAGCAGCACAAAACAATTGCATTCAAAGCTGAATAAAATCAGATAAAATTATAAATAGGATAAAACAGTTATATACAGTATAAACGACCAATTGGATTTGGATTTCAAAATTTTTTAAACAAGACCAAAATAGTCAAATTTTCATTTAACTGCATTGATCGTGTTTTTGTTAAAACTAACAAACTTTCAAATAAAATGGAAATATTAAAAAAAATGACTTAACCACTATCCTGTCATTTGCAAGTTAAATAATAATTAAATGATAACAACCTACTCGTATTTAAAAATAATACCATGACAACATTAAATTGTGATAAGCCACATAGTTACATTACCCCGCATACAAATTTAATTAGTTTTGTTCAACAATGTCAGAATTTTATATTTTAAACTTAATAAGATAATGAACAGTTTTAGATAAAAAAAATAGACCTAAAATTGGTTAGATAACTAATAAAATTTTACTTTTAATCCAAAGAAAAGAAAAGTTATTTAACTCGTTGTAGTCAGTTAATTAACGTCCTTTTAGTAAGTTATTAATTTCCTAGTATTAGAACACATCTTTACATTATTGTATATCCCTTATTTTTAAGATTTTTAACGGCAAAATTTTGTGTCCCACTAATAATACATAAAAGAAATAGAAGCACGCTATATGTAAATGAAGTGACGTTGTTTAAACATCTAATTAATGGCTAACACTAACTGATAGAAACAAAACCTGCCTCCCCCAGGCAACGCAGCAAAACATAACAGTAATTCCCTAAAATTATTCCACTGTACAAATGCCACATGTCCAATTAGATGCTTTCAACAACAAAAAAAAAGAAAAAAATTTCCTCATTTTGCTTAGTTAAATTCTAGTGTCCTACAATTTCAATTAGAACATGCTTTTTTTTAAAACTAATTTAGTAATTGGTAGAAAGTTAAAATATTTCCTATTTATATATAGTGCAGTATATCTAACCAGTAAATTTTTTTATCATTCGTAATTCATAAGGCAATAAAATATAGAATACTACATAGTTATGAACATTTTTACTACCGCCTGTGAATTGAAGATCATTTAAACAGCGGAATAAAAAAAAATTATTAAGTATGGAAACATACTGATAACTTAACTGATAATAAACAAAATATGTACTCATATATACATAACATTACTCGTAATAAAAATAAACCTTATGTTTCACCCAACAATTTTAGTAACTTCAACATTTTAGTAACTTTTAGTATCTTCATAATAATAATCATAATTCTTCCTCAAATAAAAATTTAAGTTTTTCCGAAAAATCATAGTGGAAATTTAATGTACACTAATTCTTTACTTTTCAATGCATAATTATTTTTGTCTTACTTTTAAAGATAAAATTATCACTGTTGTATTTAGACTTATAGCTAACTATTATTACTTTTCTTATATTTCATGACTCAACTTTTTAGAGTAATATTTTAGAACATATTTTCAACTTTTTAGAGCATATTTCGTTCTGAAATTGCTGAAATCTCGAAAGATTTTTCGAAAGTCGATTCAATAAGTCAACAAAGAAAATTTTCATTTTAGCTGCTTTTTATTAAATAATTACAATTTTCTCTCATATAAAACTAAAATTAATTAATTAAATTCAATTACGGAATTAATATAAAAAAAAAACTGTATAAACATCAAGTGTCATCCACTTCAAGATTAAAAACATTTATTTACTAGAAAAGTATAAATTTGGTGACGCTAACCACACCTCAGAGATGCAAATATGTATTTTAAAGTGGTAGTTTATCAATTGTGATTCTTAGTTTAGTAAATTCAATTTGGTAGATTTTTATCCACCACTATTTCTAAATAATTCGTAGGCATATATAATTCACTACTTTATAGTACTTTTACCTTTCAAAAAACAAGCAAAAATCGTCCGTCCTCGGCGGTAAAAAATTCCCCGCGGACAACAAATTTCTCGAATTCAGCGTCCGCGCGGACGGCCATTTTCACGTTAACGTTCGTGATACATTTTCAATTTTTGTTATCTTACAAGAATCTAGTGCCTCACTTCCAAAATGACCCTTTAATCTCGAAATACAGCAACATACTGCGCATGGTGGAATTGATGTTTTCTCTGTCTGGGAGTACTGCAGCGGTTGAAAGGGGCTTTTCAGCAATGAACTTACAAAAAATAAAAACACATTACTTACTGGTCTTAAACAAGAAGCGTTAAACGCATTTATGAACATCTACCTAAATGGAAAACCTCTTTCAGATTTCTGTGCCCTCTGTAAATCATTTTAACCTCTGTAAATCATTGGCTTGATTGTGGAACTGGCAAACGTCATATTTGACTCATTTAAAAAACGCAGTACCATCGGATAAATTGACATGATAATTGACAGATAACTTAACCTTTGTTATTTAAATTATTTCATCAAAGAAATAAATTATTTCATAATAGAAATACTAGGTTTTACTATTAGTAACCTAGTATTTCTTTTATTACTGTATAATGTAATCCT